AAAGAACAGATCTCAACAGGCCACATTGTTCGATTGTTTAAATTAGTCACAGAATGTGCAGTCAGGGAGCCATTCTAGAAGGGGGGGGAGACCTGCAGTAAGGGCACCCCGAAGGTGGGGAAGAGGGCACTCCTTAGATACTATATCTCCAAAACTCTTGCCTGAGATTGTCTTGTCCAGGAAGGTGGCTCTGTCGGTGCCCTGAGCCCTGACTGGAGGATTATTAACGCAGCAGAGTTTGTGCATTTGGGGGCCCAGAGATTGCGGTGAGGTCTGGGTTCATATAGAGTCTTCATTAAAGCTCTGCGAGGGATGGGGGTGATATCACATTAATGACACTAGATGGGGAGGAGCCGTGAGACAGAAATAACCTGCCCAGACACCACAGTGACTGGTGCGCAAGGAGATCCTGCAGACCATGTCTGCCGGTGAGTCCTAGATCCCGAGGCTAGAAGGGACCGTTTGGGATCATCTGGTCTGACCTCCTGTATAACACAGGCCAGAGACCTGCCCCACAATAATTTCTTGATTTAGAAATTACCATTGATGGAGAATCCGTCACAAACCTTATAAGAGTGAGGCAGTGCGGTGCCTCATACGATCCCCCCTTTCTCTGGAGGAGAGTAACAAGCCTGGGACTTTTCAGTCTGGCAAAGAGATGACTAAGGGGGGATAGGATAGGAGTCTATAAAATCATGGCTGGTGTGGAGAAATTGAATAAGGAAGTGTTATTTACTCCTTCACATAACACAAGAACCAGGGGTCACCTAATGAAATTAATAGGCAGCAGGTTTAAAACAACGCACAGTCAACCCATGGAACTTGTTGGCAGGGGATGTTGTAAAGGCCAAAACTATAACGGGGTTCAAATAGAGGAGTTCATGGAGGATAGGTTCATCGATGGCTGTTAGCCAAGATGGTCAGGAGTGCAGCACCATGCTTTGGGTGTCCCTAGTCTTTGATGGCCAGAAACTGGGACTGAATGACAAGGGATGAATCACTCAGACTGCCTGTTCTGTTCACTCCCTCTGGGGCCCCGGCATTGGCCACTGTCGGCAGACAGGACACTGGGCTAGATGGACCTTTGTCTGACCCGGTCTGGCCGAGCGTATGGACTGGGCTCTCTGTGCCAGCTCAGGTAGTGGGCTCTGATGGGGTCACAGCACAGGCAGATCAGCTGCAGTGAACAGCACGTCGCCTTTTCGTCTTATCTGCCTGGGCGAGTGCGTGGGGCTCCCTGCACGTGCCTGAGACTCCCCAGGGGCACACGGACATGTGTATTTGTTGTGCCCATGGCGCTGATGGCCAGATGCCACCGCAGTCCTGTTTCGCAGAAGGGTGTAATGTGTGCTCTCTTCTTTGTTCCAAGCTGCACTGAGGAGGGCACTCAAGACACAGCAGGTAAAGGGCTTTCTGTCGTATTTCTTCCCCTCTCTGCTTCCACCCAAGAATTCCCTGTAGAGACATGCTCCAGAGTGCAATGTGGTGGGCCTTGCCAGCAGAGGGTACTCATGGGCCCAACCCAGAAGCCTTCTGCAAGTCCTGCCTGCTAGCTCCCATCCCCCCCCCGTCTCCTCCCTTGGCCCCATCCCCCCAGCCATCCTCTCTCAGTTCTGGAGATCGTGTCCTTTTGTGTTTCAGACTTTGTGTCTCCGACACCAGGAGGCAGCTCGTCCATCATGCGCTTACCACAGAGCTGGGCCCCACCTGGAGTGCCCCCGACACAGCAGGATGAAATGGGATGGGGGCACTGGAGGCCAAGCACCCACCTGCCCCAAGGGACCTTCCTCTAAGGTTTCCACAGGCGAATGAGGCTTTGTCAGTCTTCCGGTGTTTATATATCACCATAATGGGTTAACCAGTCAGAATCCTCTCTGTGCCTGAGGCTCAGACCAGCTGGCACCTGGAACCTGGACCAAGCAGCATCCCTTCCCCTCATTGTGCCTGAGGCATTGCTCTCCTCTCTGCCCTGTGCCTTTGGACTAACTGGCAGCTTGCCCTGCTTTGCTCCTGGGACTTGGCCAGGCAGGTTTCCTTGACTCTGTTGTATGTTCATTTTTGCAGGTACTAGTGAAGCTGTCCTGCCAACAACCTCTGGGCTTCCCCCAATTAGGCTCAGACCAGGCAGTGGTAGGGCTGGCTTCCCACACCCCCTGGCCTGCTCTGTGCCACCACCCAGCCCTGCAGGGACTTCCACCAGAGGGTGAAAGGGAGTGCAGCATCCATGGCCTGCCTACTCCTCAGCCTATCCATGGAGCGTGCCAGTAATGGTCAATTGGAATTGGTGGGATGGGGCCACCCAGCCCTGTGGGCCCGGAACAGCTCCTTGTGCTCCCCTTTGCATTGGCTGGGCTCAACCCCATGACCAAGGGTGCTGCTTGTTCCCAGTACTGACTGGGCTGGCTACTCAATTAAGGCCTTTCCCTCCTCTGCTGTCTGGTTCCGGGGCACAGCTGTGTCAGGGCTTTGGCCTCATCCCTGTTGGGTAAATGCAGCATGCTAGAAAACGTGTTAGCCAGCAAACTGCTGAGCACCACTCGGCACCCGGCATGTGCAGGGCAGTTGTGTTCCATGTTGTGTTCCTGAGCATGCCTGCCCCATGCACATAGGTGCTCACCACTGTTAGCTGGGTGTGTGCTCCCAGGCATGCTGTGTGTGTGGTGGGGCTCACTGCTGTTAGTGTGTCTGAGAGTGCACCCCAGCTGAGTCCAGAGCATTGTTCAGGTTTCTCTGGCTCACACGTTTTCTTGCTTGCCGTGTTTGCTCTGTGTAGAAGAGACCCATAGCTCCGGTCTTTCCCATCGCTGTAGCTGAAGCATGGAAGTGTGAACTGAAGGACTGTGGATGATGTCCCCTGCAAGCCCTCTGTCCTTCCTGCCTCTCTCCTTGGGATAAGGGTCAGCAGATTCCTGCTTCTTAAGGCCAGGAGGGAGTGCGCTGAGCATCTGATCTAACCTCCAGCCTAGCCAGGCCAGAGGATGCTGCCCACAGAGTCAGGCAGTGGAGGAAGGGGGTTATTCTCTCCTATGTAGGTGTCACACCCCTTTGCTGGTAGTCCCAGAGAACCCATTGCTTGTAGCCCAGAGAGGGCACAAAACCACGGGCTCGGCTTGTCTGTGGAATGGAGGTCCCCACAGATCTGACACCTGCAGCCCCACACCCTTTCACTGTCATGTGGTGAAATCACTGGTTTTTAAAGGAAAATGCTACCTTTGTAGAGTGCGATAAAATGAGTTTTTTAACATTGTAAGCTTGACTCTGTCCTTGTGGCCTCTGGCATAGATTTCCCAGGTCCCTCTGAGTTTGGGAGGGGAAGGGTTACTGAGGAAGCAGGCCAGTGGCTCTTCATGCCTCTTGCTACCCGCTTGGTTTGGTTTTTAAACCTTCAGCCCTGCCCCTTGTCAGGAAGCTCCCTGCCCTGCTGCCTGAGTAATGGTGATACCTTTAGTAGATTATGACACGTCACCCTGGGGTGAAGACAATCAAGGAGAATAAGGCAGCAGAAAGTCCCTGCCCTCAGCCATACCACTAGGCACCAGCTCTCTGAGGTGATGCTAAGGAGTGGCAGGTCCCCATACCTCTTGTGTGTGATCGGTCCACCCCAGCTCCATGACTGTGAAAGCAAAGGCCATAAGCCTTGGTCAAACTGCCTAGTCCCAGATAGCAAGGGGGCAAGTGATCCCTGCCAGCAGGGGCTTCTGGGGACAGTGGGATGTCCACGGTCCACCCCCACACTCGTCTCGTTAAGTGAGGTCCCTTTAGGAACACTGGCTAAAGCCCCCTCCCTCTGCTTGCACTTGGTATAACCTGCTGTGCATGCCCCTTTGTCCCAGCAGGAGAGTCTAAGCCCTTCCATCCCCTCTGCCAGCTGGTGTCTCCTTCAGCATTCCCCTCCCAACACGCAGATGGGGGCCGCCCTGCTCCTGACCCAGGGGAACAGCCTGCACAAGTTTCTCTTCTCTGTGCTCTGCATCCTGCATCTTGTGCCTCTTGCAGCCATTTTCTGAGACCCCATCCTGGGAGCAAACGAGGCCTTTGCTGTCCCTCTTCAGCTGCCAGCCCCATTTCTCTGTCAAACTACTGTTCTACCATGTGCAGGTGGTCTGGCAGCCCCAACCAGTGCCATGGAGCTGCAAAGATGGAGGGCCAGTTCTCCCACTACAAGGCCCTGTAGAGCAATGGGATCATGGGTGGGGGCAATGGGTGAATCACCTTCCCCAATAGGGACTCCTGGCACCAACCTTGGCAGCAGCTTCCAGGAGGGACCCAGCCTGGGCTGATGTCCTGTGCAAGGGAATGCTGGGTAGGATGGGATAGCAAGTGCTACGCTAGCTAGGAATCACCAGCACTCTTTGATCTGGCAAATAACACAGAACAGCAGAGGGGGGCTGCCAGCTTCTTGGGCATGTATGCGAGAGTGAGCCTGCATGCAACAGGGGGTGGGGGGTGAGAGAGATCCCCTCTCTACATGGGACTCAGCCAGGAACAGCATTGTCGCTGGGCTCCAGCCATCAGCAGAGACCCCCAGGCAGCAGTTCTGGTCACTGCCCACGCTGGCTGGAGAGAAGCAGAGAGGCCATCTCCCTGATGGGCATGGACAGATGGTGGAGGGCCTGCTCCCCAAGGGGAGAAGTATGCTGTCTCCAGAACTGCCCTGCCCCCGGGAACAGGTCTGTACAAAGGTGGCTGGTGGGAGCATGAGGCTCCCTAGCTCCTGGGGAAGGGGAGGCCTTTCTTCTTTCAGGAGCCAGCAATTGGGGAGCTGAAGAAAAACCCAGCAGCAGAGCCAGTGGGACTCCCATTCCTCAGCTCCAATACAACCCCTGCGGTCCCCCATTTTGCCATTGTCACTGCCCTGCATCAAAATCTGTCTCTCCTCTGTTCCCCCTGCCCAGCCCTCCAGCACCGTCCCATCCTGTGCTAGTGGGTCTGTCCCTCAGCCGTGGCAGTTGGCTCCCAAGCACTGTGCACACACTGGACTAGCCACCACAGTGACCTTCTGCCTTTCAGCCAGAGACTTTTATTGAAAAGACCCTGCTGCAGGGAGCCACTTGCCCTGCCCCTTGGTATTCCCATGGCAGGAGCTAAGCAGCACTTGGAGGGAAGAGTCTGAAATTGTTTTGCTTGAAGATAAGTTCCTGGAAGACGCTGGATCCTGTGATTCTCATCAAGCCTGGGGCTGCACAGACACCTCCCGGCCCCGGGGGAGCAGGCTACAACCTGTCATTCCTCCAGTGGGGGCTGCACAGACAGCCTCCCGGCCCCGGGGGAGCAGGCTACAACCTGTCATTTCTCCAGTGGGGGCTGCACAGACACCTCCCGGCCCCGGGGGAGCAGGCTACAACCTGTCATTCCTCCAGTGGAGGCTGTTCTGTTCTCTTCTGATGGAGGAAGGCAGATGTGGGGGAGAGGGGCTGGGGTTGGTTTGGCCTCAGCTTTTAGTTAGGAGCAATGCTGGTTCCAAATGGCACAATTCAGTCCACGGTGATGCCACATGGACCCTGGAGTTTGGGTGTTAACAGGAGATGTTCAGCTTTAACCACCCCTGGGTACTCCTCTGTCCTGAACGCTTCCCTGGCTGATGGGCAGTGAGCGGTGCAGACACCCTGCTGGACAACCTGTTTTGTCCATACAGTACAAGAACTTGGGGGGTTTCATTGGTGTTTCTGAGTTGCTTGGGTCAGCTCCTTTCCAGCAGAAGGTCCTAGTGGAATAAGCACCGCCCTCTCCCATGGGACCCTGGGCCAGGGGGTGCTGCCTGCTCTGGGGGGAAGGAGTAACAGCTGGCACCATAGGAGCAGTGGGGACTACAGCCCCGTCGGACTGGAAGCGTCTCCCCTATGTGAGACTGGGGCACAGGCATGGATTCAAGCTATAACGACCTGCTGAGCCTGGGTCTGTGAGCACCCTGGGGTGGGGTTGTGCCATGATGACACTACAGAACTCAGGCTTAGAATCCTGCGCACCAGGCCCCCGTTGGCAGAGAGATCCCAGATGGCCTGCTGCCCACCCCAGGAGTGCGTCACTGGAACTAGGCCATGGCAGTGCCCGAGGCAGTCATGGGAGGCTGCAAAGGGTTGCCGTGGCAGCCATGGGGTAGGGCGGGAGAACTCTGCCCAGGTTCAGGGCTGATGATGTGAGGAGGGTGGGCTGGAGTAGCACGTTTCCTAGGGGGAATGGCGCCCTGCACAGACTCTGACACCATTGCCTCCTACAGAGCAGGCGCTGTGTGTCTGGGAAGCCCTGGGACAGCCTCTCTCCAGCAGCAGCATCTCCCTAGGGATGGAGACCAACCCCTTCTAGGCCATGCACTGGTGTGTAAAGGAACCATCCCCTCACACACGCCATAGGGACCCAACATAAAACCAGGCTGCAATCGGGGCAGGACCTGCTGTGAGGCCTTCCATGCCAGGCTTAAAAACAGGAAAGAGCAGTAGGATAGAGCTGGGGCAGGCCCTGTGGTGAGGCCTTGGCAGAGTGAGGGGTCTGGGGGCAGGGCCCTGTGGTGAGGCCTTTGCCCTGCAGGGGGCAGAGTGAGGGGTCTGGGGGCAGGCCCTACGATAAGGTCTTTGCCCTGCAGGGGGCAGAGTGAGGGGTCTGGGGGCAGGCCCTACGATAAGGCCTTTGCCCTGCAGGGGGCAGAGTAAGGGGGCTGGGGCAGGCCCTACGATAAGGTCTTTGCCCTGCAGGGGGCAAAGTGAGGGGCAGGGCCCTGAGCTGAGGCCTTTGACTGATGGGCAGAGGCATATGGGCTGCAGGCAGTTTGCATTGAGGCCTTTGCCCCCCGGGGGCATGGGGATTCAGCATGGTATTCTCTCCCCGGCCGCACCCATTTCTCTGTGGCCTGGGGTTGTTTCCCAGTGGTCCAGACTCCGGCTCCATGTGGCCTCACCAGGACTGCTGGAAGCCTCCGCGGGAGCCAGAGGCAGAGGAGGAGAGGGCTCAGAGCTACATGTGCTAGATTTCCCTCCCACACCCAGAGCTGAACTGTGACCTGGAGACCGCCCAGGCCATGCAGTTAGCAGGGATATGTTTCTATGGGCACTGGGTACGTCCCTGCCACCCTACAAACTGGGCAGGCGTGAGGTGTGATAGGGAGAACTCTCCCCTGCGGCCCCTGTCTCTGCAGCAAGGCCCTGCCCTGCTCTGCTTTGCCGGGCACAGTGGGAAGCAGCATTGGCACTTCCTGGTCTGAGGTCCTCACCTCCCTGCGGTGGTGGCACTCACACTCAGGGAAGGGATGGAAGCTCATCTGAGCTGCCAGTTGCTGAAGTCAGCTCAGTGACCCAGCCAACCTCCTGCCTCCTTGGGCTGGGATTCCATCTCTGGCTGCGTCTGCAGGGCGCATGGGGCCGTCCTGCAAAGCTCCGATCAGTTCTCTTGCCAGCCCTTCCTGAGCTAGCACCTCCACCTCTGTGGGCCCCACAGTCTGGGCTTGCAGGGTTAGGGGGCTGGAAAGTGGGCACTTCTCTGGGACTGTAAACAAACAGAAAATCCCTCTGAGTCTCCAGGCGTGCTGGATGAGAGCTAGACCCCTCCTAGGGCTCTCTGGTAACTGGGGCTATGTCTGCGCCCCGGCTTAGGTCTGGCAATACCTAGGGCTATAACAGCATGAACATGAGGGGACACTGCCATTTACCTAACAGTTGCTGAGTGACAGGGCCATGAGATCCCATGTCCACGACATTATCCCTGCATCAGCAGGAGGCTCCCCCATCCCTTGAAATCCGGATATGGCTGTTTGTTCTTTCGGTGCTGTTCCAGGCTCCCCATTGACTCCTGGGCAGTTACATGATGGGTGTGAGGCTGAGTTCTGCATGCATCATCCAAACAGTCTCCATGCAGATCCCCTCGGGGGGAGAAGGCCTTGGAAGAAGCAGAATTTCTGATAAACAATTCTTTGCATGCTGAGGGTTGCAGGCTGGCAGCCTGGTGGTGTCCTTTTATCCCATGATCTTCCTCGGCTCTGGCAGCATTCCCAGGGCCCTCGGATCCAGAGCTGGACTGTGCTCACACCTCAATGATATTGACAGATAGAGACTTTTTCTACAAGAGAAAAATCAGCATTAAGACCAGATTCCCCCTGGGTTCAGTGCGCCCTGCGCCACAGGGATCCGCTGTGCTGAACTCTTTTGGAGACCTGGTCCCAATCGGGGGTACTGAGCCCTTCTGAGCGTTCCACTGAGGTGTCAAGTGAGGGGTGTGCTCCCCTCTCCCACGGGCCCAGTGACAGCATCCCCCCCCCCCCCGGGCCAAGCAGTGGTGGTGTACCCCAGCTGCGGGTGGAGCAGCGGTGCGCACCCCGCCTCCCATGGCCTGGTGCTGTGCTCTGGCTTTAGCCTCTCCTTGAGGTGTCTTTATAAAACTTGAGTCTCAATAGAGACTAAAGCACTTCATGGTGATCTGACTCCCTGCAAGAAATGCAGATAAATGCCATCGTGCCCCCTCCCCCACCCAACCCACTGCCACCATTCCCTTCTGCCCCTGACTGGCACTGCCCCCCTTCCCTCCCCAATAAGGCCAACCCACTGGCACTGTCTCCCCCCTCACCGCACCCCTAAGAAAGCCAACTGACCAACACAGAGAAAATAACATTAGGAAAACAAACAAACCCAAATCCCTCCCCAAATGGAGATTTTGCCCCAAACTGAGAGATGAGCCAGCCACCCCAGTCTCTAGGGACTGGGCGATTTCTGGGAGTTTCAGGTGGAAGATGCTCAGATATGCGGTGATGGGCAGCCGTATGAAACCCTGAGACAGACAGATAACAATTGCTTGTATCACATGGGGATGAAGTTCTTTCCAGGCCATTAGTAACCAGGGAGAATGTTAAACAGCAGCTATTAGGGATAAACATTTTAAAATCAGCAGGCTGTGAGAACTGTCACCGAAGAGTAAAAAAGAGTTGGCTGAGGATCTCTGGCTGCTGATGTTCATTGTTAATAACTCTCGGACCACTAGAGAAATGCCAAGTGACTGGAAGAGCCCTAGTGTTGTGCCAATACTCAAAAAGGGCAAGCAGGATGATGTGGATAACTATAGGTCAGTCAACCTGATATCAATCCCAAGAGATTAATGGATAAGATGATATGGGGTCATATGGACTGTGTCATACAGGAGGTCAGACTAGATGATCACAAGTGGTCCCTTCTGGCCTTGTAATCAAAGAAGAATGAGTATCTGAGGGAGCAGGCAGTGTGCTTGTGGCTGGAGGTGGCAATTATCACCCCGTAAAATCATAGAACATCAGGGCTGGAAGGGACCTCAGGAGGTATCTAGTCCAACCCCCTGCTCAAAGCAGGACCAATCCCCAACTAAATCATCCCAGCCAGGGCTTTGTCAAGCCTGACCTTAAAAACCTCTAAGGAAGGAGATTCCACCACCTCCCTAGGGAACCCATTCCAGTGCTTCACCACCCTCCTAGTGAAATAGTGTTTCCTAATATCCAACCCAGACCTCCCCCACTGCAACTTGAGACCATTACTCCTTGTTCTGTCATCTGGTACCACTGAGAACAGTCTAGATCCATCCTCTTTGGAACCCCCTTTCAGGTAGTTGAAGGCTGCTATCAAATCCCCCCCTCATTCTTCTCTTCTACAGACTAAACAATCCCAGTTCTCTCAGCCTCTCCTCATAAGTCATGTGCTTCAGCCCCCCAATCATTTTTGTTGCCCTCCGCTGGACTCTCTCCAATTTTTCCACATCCTTCTTGTAGTGTGGGGCCTCTGGTTACAGAGCCATGTGCCTGCCACACTGTTCTTGGCTAAAATTCATTAAACAAACAACAGAACTGGCAGCCTCAAAGGATCCCTGGTACCCCACATTTATTATTACTGGGGTTAACTCCAAAGCGCCAGGGAGGTCGGGGCTCCCTTCCACTGGCTGCTGCCCACGACTATACTAAGAGACAGTCCCTGCCCCAAACTGCTTCTTGTCTTAAGAAATCTGAGGTCTCTTACCACATGACCACCCCCAGTGCCTCGCACACACAGACCCCATCCCCATCTCCCAGTGCCTCGTACATCCAGACCCCATCCCCCAGTGCCTCGCACACACAGACCCCATCCCCATCTCCCAGTGCCTCACACATCCAGTCCCCATACCCCAGTGCCTCGCACACACAGACCCCATCCCCCATCACCCAGTGCCTCGCACATCCAGCCCCCATCCCCACCTCCAGTGCTTCATACACACACCCCATCACCCAGTGCCTTGCACATCCAGTCCCCATATCCCAGTGCCTTGCCCACCAGACCTCATCCCCCAGTCTCTCGCACACACACACCCCATCACCCAGTGCCTCACACACACAGATCCCATCCCCCATCCCCCAGTACCTCGCACACACAGACCCCATCCCTCAGTAACCCGCTCCCCCCATTACCTTGCTGCGCAGTAGCCCCCCTGTGGGTCGCTCCGGCGTGCTGTGCTCTGAGGACGGCTTGGTCTTTTCCTTGTTGTTGTTGGAGTCGTTGTCCTTGATAATGTCATACTGTCTGCAGAAGAGTGCGATCACCGCTACAGAGAGAGACAGACGTGGTTTGAGGGGGTGTCCCCAACACCACCACCCGCCCACAACACCACCCCAAATACCACCTTTTTCCAACAATGCCACCACATCTCCCTCAACACCACCCACACCCCACAACACCACACCTCTCCACAATACCACCAGCACCCCACCTTTCCCCACAACACCTCTTCCTCGCAACACCCCCAACTCCACTCCCTGCCCACAACACCATCCCAAATACCACCTTCTTCCAACAACACCATCCCCCCAACACCGTGCCCTTCCTGCAACTCACTGTCTCCAACACCACCCCCCTGGAAGTACCCCAACACCATACCCCTTCCCACAATTCCCCCCTAAAGTATTTTCCGGAAAGGCAGCATGGCTTGATTTTAAGACATCAAGAGATGAGACTCCACCATTTCCTTGAGAGTTTGTCCCAGTGGCTCATCGCCCTCACTGTTAAACATTTGTGCCTAATTTCTCCTTTGAATTTGTCTGGCTTTCTTGGTTCTTATTTGCCTTTTACTGGTAGACCAAAGAGCCCATTAGTACTGGGGGTTTTCTCCCTACCAAGTTAATTCACCTCATAATCTTCTTTTTCATAACTAAACAGATTGGGCCCTTTAAGTCTCTCACTCGTTTTCTCCAGCCTTTGAATAATTTGGTGGCTGTTTTCTGCATGTTCTCCAATTTTTCAAAATCCTGTTTAAAATGTGGACACCAGGACTGGCCGCGGTATCCAGTATCAGTCTCATCACTACCGTGTGCAGAGGAAAAAGAGAAAAGAAAAAAAATCGCAACAAAATCTCATTTAATCAAAAAAGCTAAAATTGTAGAAAGAAAAACATTGTTCACAGAGGTTTGGTTTCCTTCATAAAGCCTCTGCCATCAAAAATCCATTTTGATTAAAACTTTTGCCTAGCTCTAGTGTTGCCCCCTACCCTGCTCCCATTAGACCTCCCCAGGGCCGGCTCCAGCTTTTTTGCTGCCCCCAAGTGGCGAAGAGGTGAAAAAAAAAAAAAGCCGCGATCGGGGGCACTTCGGCGGCTGCTTTACCGCGCCGTTTCATTCTTCGGCGGCTGCTTTACCGCGCCGTTTCATTCTTCGGCGGCTGCTTTACCGCGCCGTTTCATTCTTCGGCGGCTGCTTTACCGCGCCGTTTCGTTCTTCGGCGGCTGCTTTACCGCGCCGTTTCGTTCTTCGGCGGCTGCTTTACCGCGCCGTTTCATTCTTCGGCGGCTGCTTTACCGCGCCGTTTCATTCTTCGGCGGCTGCTTTACCGCGCCGTTTCATTCTTCGGCGGCTGCTTTACCGCGCCGTTTCATTCTTCGGCGGCTGCATTACCGCGCCGTTTCATTCTTCGGCGGCAATTCGGCAGCAGGTCCTTCCCTCCAACGGGGACTGAGGGACCCGCCGCCTCTTTCCATTGGCCGCCCCAAGCACCTGCTTCCTTTGCTGGTGCCTGGAGCCGGCCCTGGACCTCACACCCCTGCAAAATGCCAATTGTCCATTGGAATAACTGACCGAGGGGAGTGGTGAATTCTCCTTTGCTTGGAGTCTTTAGATTAAGACTGGGTGTGCTTTTAATAGCTCAGCAATTGCTCCACGGGAAGTAATGGGCTGGCTGCAGAAATCACTGGGGCAGGTTCTCTAGCTTGTGTTATGCAGGTCAGACTAGACGATCATGAGAGTCCCTTCTGGCCTCGGAATCTGGGAATCTCATGTTGCCTGTGTAGGCTGCCCCAAAGAGCCCTCTCCCTCTTAGCCGTCTCGTGGATTAAGTAGGTTGGGCTTCTGGAGTCTTTCACGCTGAGGCACGTTTTCCAGGCCTCAAACAGGCTGGCAGCACTGCAGCTGGGAGCGGGTCGCCCAGCCCGGGTGGACAGACTTTCGTTAGCGGGGCTGGAGCTAAAAATAGCGGTGTGGCCATTGCAGCCCAGTGGCAGCCTGGACTCCAAAGCCCGCTCAAGCCCTGGATCTGAGCTCTGGTGTCCAGCCGGAATCTCTCCTGCTGCTGCACTGGCCACACTGCTATTGTTAGCATTAGCTCCAGCCTCCAAGCGTGCGTCTGGAACTCACGCCCAGCTGTAGTGTACACAGACCCACACCGTTCGTGTAACTCTCTTCGGAACCCTTTCCAACTGGTTTTGGACGGTAGGCCCAGATCTGGACACAGTATCTAGCAGTGGTCCCACAAGGCAAAGCGAAGAGGAAATAACACCTCCTTACTCTTGCTTATACGTCCAAGGATCACCAGAGTCCTCTTAGCTACAGCACCATGCAGGGAACTCAGACTCAGTTGGTTATCTGTGATCAGGGTCAATTGACTTTCACCAAGTCCAGCCCCCCGCGCTGTGACAGGACCAAGTAAACCTAGACTGTCCCTGACAGGGGTTTGTCCAACCTGCTCCTAAAAATCTCCCATGATGGGGATTCCACAACCTCCCCTGGAAGCTTGTTCCAGAGCTTAACTATCCTTAGAGTTAGAAAGTTTTTCCTAAAACCTAATCTAAATCTCCCTTGCTGCAGACTAAGTTAATTATTCTTGTCCCACCTTCAGGTCTCAAGTGTAAGCTTGAAAGTTTGTCTCTCTTACCAACAGACATTGATCCAATAAAAGATATTACTTCTGACAAAGGGGGTATTCACCCACGAAAGCTTATGCTCCAATACCTCTGTTAGTCTATAAGGTGCCACAGGACTCTTTGTCGCTTTTTACAGATCCAGACTAACACGGCTCCCCTCTGATACTTCACCCTCCTTGTATCTCTAACATCCTGGGTCCAACCTACAGCAACACTGCATACGGACTTTGCACTTGTCTTTACTGAATTTCATCTTGTTGTTTTCAGACCAATTCTCTAATTTGTCAAGGCCAATTTGAATTCTAATCCTGTCCTCCAAAGTGGTTGCAACCCCTCCCAGCTTGGTGTCATCCACAAACTTTATAAGCAGTCTTCCAGTTCATTACACAAATCACTAATGAAATTACTGACTAGTACTGGACCCAGGACTGACCTGTGGGATACACCCCCCCAGCTTGAGAGTGAACCACTGACAATGACTCTTTCAGTACAGTCTTTCAACCGGTGTTGCACCTACTGTAGAGTAATTTCATCTAGCCCACATTTCCCTGGTTTGTTATGAGAACGTCACTGGGGACTGTGTCAAAAGCTTTACTAGCAGCAGGATATTTCACGTCTACAGCTGCCCCCCACCCACTAGAGCCACCTCCTGCGCCTGCCTTCACACCCACGTGCTGCCTTCCAGCCCAACCCCGTATGGAATCCAGAGGGACCAGAGGCCCATGAGGTGGGACCCGTGAGCACTGGCCCCTCCCCTTTTCCTCACCTGCCCACATGAGCAGCACAGTCACGATGATGACAATCTCCCCAGTCTGGAGTTGCCGCTCCTTGTCCAGCCCTTCCACGGTGATGTCACCTGCAAGACACACGCCGAGCAGTGGGATGCGGCCTGGCCTGGTGGGGCTGTCAGGTTGTGCAGCCCCCGCCAGGCTGCGGGCAGATGAGAAACAACGGAGCCAGAGGAGACTCCAGACCGCAGGGGGCTAATCGGACACAAGTGGAGGGAGGGGAAACAGGGCTCTGGGATTCATCCCCTCAGCTCCCAGCAGCGTAAAGGGCAGGGGACACCTGAGCTAATCAAACCTTTGCTGTCCCCGAGGCAGCGGCAGGCTGGCCTGATCCCGGATGGCCCCTTGAGAGTTAAAGCACCTTCTCCTTTTCCCGGGAGATGGGGGCACAGTCTGGGGAGGTGTGAGTTCCAGGGAAGGGGGGGCATATACCCACCAGCCAGGCGGGCCTGGGGCATGGCTGTGCCTGTCTCTGACAGGCCTGTGTGTGCTGGGGAGCAGGATCCCGACAGATCTGCCCCACCTGCCTACCTCCCATCAACACCCCAGCACGTGCCGCCCACCCTCAGGGGCACACACCCGCCTGCCTAGCAGCAGCTCCTTGGTTTCTGTTCCGGCCTGGGATGATGATGTACCTCCTGCTCAGGTCAGAGCCCCGGGGTCAGTGCCAGGCCCTCGGCAGCTCGCTGGGGAGGGCGAAGGCTGCGTACGCAGGTGGTCAGTGTGCTGTACAAAGAGCGGAGCTGTCGCCAGGGCCGGCTCTAGGCACCAGCAAAACAAGCTGGTGCTTGGGGCGGCACATTTTTAGGGACGGTAGGGTTACCATATTTTGTGCCTCCAAATGGAGGACACTCCACGGCCCCCGGCCCCGCCCCCAGCCCCGCCCAACCCCGCCCCCGCCCCAAAGTCTCTGCCCCCTCCCCTGCTTCCCGCAAATATTTGATTCGCGGGAAGCCTGAAGCAG